TTGTGAAGAAGAAGAAAGAGACGGATCAAGAAAGGTGGGTCGAGGGACGAGCCTCGACTGTACATGTAAGTTTTCACTTTTCATTAAGTATTTTGATTTACTTTTATATAAATTTTGAAATACTAATTCAATGTAATTTATCTTATAGGGTCGCTTCACAGCTGAAGTGGAGGAATTCATATACAGTCAGCCACCAAATGAGTCGGGCAAGCCAATCCAACCTTCGGACGAGGATGCTGAAAGAATGTGGACAGAGGCTGCAGGCGGTCCAAAATGGGGGAAGGTATACGAGCTTCCTACTAAGAAATTCCATCACTATAAGTGTGGAATGCAAGGAATAGAGACTTCCTCGCAAGCCGAGCAACTTGATGGGGAGAGCCTCTCCGCTATGCGAGAGACTGTGACAAAGCTCACATCCGAGCTAGAAGTGGTCAAGGAAAGAGAAAAGCTTAGAGATGCTCAGTACATTGGTGTGGTCGCTCAGTGTCAGGGCATGCAAGAGCGACTCAAATCTCTCCTAGCTTCTGGAGGTTTTCCGATTCCCCGGTCTCGTGAGTCATTGCCAGAGGCTCGCCTTCCCCGTGCTCGTTCCTCCCATCCTCCCCGTGATCGTTCTTTTCGTCCTCGACAAGTAGACCCTTCTGAATACCTTCATGGTGATGAAAGTTCATCAGACGGTAATGATAATGATGTACACAACACTCATTGAATTTTATAAACATTGAACTAGACAAATAGAATTGGTTTTCGAATGGGCTTGTAATAAGAGTTAACTTAGTTTGGTTAGCTTAATGTGGTAGTTCTATTGAACTTTAAACTTTGTTGGTTTTAATGTTAGTTTTAATGTTGTTTTTGTGTTGTTGTTGTTGTGTTGTTGTTGGTATTGTTGTTGTTGTTGCTTGTAATAAGAATTTGGTATGACTAGCAGGTGGTGTAGCTGCCAAAACAGGTAGTTTCTGGCAAAACAATACCCAGAAAAGCGACCAACTTTGGTCTCTTTTTGGACGCCTTTCTATTAAAAAAATAATAATTTTCTGGGCAATAACAACCAAAGCTGGTCGCTTTTTATCCAGAATTCTCAAAAAGCGACCAACCTTGGTTGCTATTCCATTAAAAAAAATAATTTCTGGAAATATAGCGACCAATTTTGGTCGCTTATATTTAAAAAAATTAAATTCTTGAAATTAGCGACCAAACCAAAGTTGGTCGCTTATTTTTTTAAAAAATTAATAAAAAACCGACCAACCTTGGTCTCTATTTTCCAGATTTTAAAATATAATATTTGGATTAGAGACCAAAGTTGGTCGCTTTTTTATGATTAATAATAAATAAATAAAAACGTATTTTACATTTAGAGACCAACTTTGGTTGCCAAAATTATATTATTAATATAATAAAGCGACCAAAGTTGGTCGCTATAGTCTTTACCCGGAATATTTGGTCCTTTTACCTTAGAGACCAAAGTTGGTCGACCAGGCATATTTGGTCGCTTTTTGCTCGCTTTTTGCTCGCTTTTAGGCCTATAAGCGACCAACTTTGGTCACTTTTTGTGGTCGCTTTTTACCGGATTTCTAGTAGTGAATGTCAAAGTGTTTTGTTTTACCTCTACTTGATTGTAATAATTTATTTGTGACATCACTTGAATGATGCAAGCAAGTTAGGTAAAGGGTATTCCTCATAAAGTTGAATGTTGCACCGTTCTTGTACTATTGCATGTGCAAGCAACAACTTTACATCTGGGGGGAGTGGGGGGGGGGGNGTTGAGTTGTACAGTTACCACGGGAATTGGTAGCTATTTGTTCCCTCTGTTGTTCCTTTGACTCTGAAGAGTTGAACCGTGTCCCCAACTAGAGACTTGTTGATCTAAGTTCTTGAGGATGTATGATAGGTTCCTTATCTGATTCTTAACAGTAAGTTTGTTAGGTCATCAAAACATAATAGAGATACACATATAACCTATCTATTATGATTCAAGAATGTGAGAGATAGTAATAAATGACAATAAATTATGTTTATGTAAATAATGGAGCAACGTTAATTCACCCGACATGAGTGAGATTTTTTCATTGATTCATCTAACAATGATGGATAATGATAAGCACTTGAATTTCCAATTCTTATTAGATCGAGAGATATATGTAAGAAAAGAGGTGTAAAGGCAAACTTGTGTATATATATGATAAAGAGAGAATCTTCAGAGAATGTCAGTATTGTTCTCTATAAAAAGTGTTCAATCCCCCTTTATAGAACTACATCTCTTTCTATTCATAAAGATACATGAGCCACAAAACCCTAGTATAATAGAGAGGAATATTTACTGAAATTTTCTCTAAGGAATCTAAATATTTTTAGCCGACAGGAGACAGGTGCTCGTCCTCGTCTTCCATTTAAGCTACATCGACCTTAACAATGATTTGCCTTCGTTATGTGACCTCGACCTTATGACATGTCGTCATGCCAATGAGAAGTTGCCTTTGAAGGATTTTATATCCGTTGATAAGTCAAATATGTGACAAGAAGTTTTTCTTCCATACAATAGGATGTTCCTTTAAAATGAAGATAACTTAATCCACATATTACTTTGTTGGGTTAATAGTTAACCGTTCCATGTATTCCAGAAGATATTGTTATTTTCTGAGAGTTAATTTCTAGCCTAATTTACGTTAGACATATGTCTCAAAATTTCTGGCCTTTGTTTCAATGGTAGGTGATTTTCTTAACACTAATTATAGAGAAGTCTTTTCAATTCCTGCAAGTGTAATGTACTAATAAATTGAAAAGGAAATTGGAACTGAAAATGGCGATTTTATTGATTAATTCGAAATGTACAATCAAATTCTGGAATCGAAATTATCTAACTAAGAACAAACGCTTCTAATCTCCATTGAATCCAAGCTTTTACCTGTAGGATTAATGGAAGGAAGTTAGAAGAAGGTTGAAGATAGAGTGAGGACGTTAGAGAGAGAAAGAGAATAGAAAGAGAGAGAGAGTAACAAATTTTACCAGATCATAACTGCCTAATTGGTTAGGCCCAAATTGGTTATAAGCTGCTTCAGCTGATGGCCCAAAATCGTTAGAGCTAAAATCAAATCTAGGCCCTCTATTTCAAGAATACATCTCTGCCGTCCAATTACTCATGTGCCACTCACGTGCTGGTTTTTTTATTAACCCTATCTAACTTTCCTAATTCACTTCTTCATTTCCAAACTTAGCCGACATCTAACAATACCCCTCCGATGAAAACAATGACCTTGTCCTCAAGGTCAGAGATTAGTCACAAACTCTGGAAACCTGCTTTTAATGTATCACCAATCTTCCCAAGTTGCATCCTCAGCTCTCAAATTAGCCTATTGAACCAATACCTTGACTCCAAACCCATTATTCACCTTCACCATCTTTCGTTGCAAGATTGCCATTGGTTGGACTAAGACACAACCATTCTCATCGCAAATTGGGGGTTGTGGCTGTGGAGTGATGTCAGGACCTACACGCTTCTTCAATTGGGACACATGAAACACAGGATATAACTGAGAACCCAGGGACAACTCTAATTGGTAAGCTACTGATCCTATCCTTTGTAGAATCTTGTAGGGGGCATAAAATCTCGCGCTTAGTTTAAGATTCTTCCTCACTGCAACTGAAGCTTGCCTGTAAGGCTGAAACTTTAGGTAAACCCAGTTACCCACATTTAAAACCCTATCTGATCTGTTTCTATCGGCATAAAACTTCATTCTTGCTTGGGCTTGAGTGAGGTTGTCATTAAGAAGCTGCAACATCTGTTGTCTTTGGGCTATGCATGTCCTAGCTTGTGTCTGTGCTAATTGGGGTAAGGACCCTGAGGGAATTTGTGGTGGTGCAAAACCATAAAATGCCTGAAAAGGAGTAGTCTTTAGGGCGCTGTGATGATTGGTGTCGTACCACCACTCAGCCAAAGGTAACCATTTCACCCATTGATTAGGGTTGGTAAATACCATAGCTCGTAGATAGGCTTCCAAACACCTGTTTAACCTTTCCGTCTGTCCATCTATTTAGGGATGGTAGGAATTTGACATATTCAGTTTGACTCCCATATATTTGAATAATCTCTGCCAAAACTGGCTGGTGAATACACTCTCTCTATCAGAAACAATAATCTTAAGCAAACCATGTAATTTGTAGATGTCTCTCAAGAACAAATCATCCACATCTTGTGTTGAGAATGGGTGTTTGAGAGCTAAGAAATGGCCATATTTGGTGAGCCTATCCACCACCACTAGTATAGCATTTATGTGGCCTGATGATGGTAACCCTTCCATAAAATCTATGGCTATGTCCTGCCATGGCAAATCAGGAATTGGTAGAGGTTGTAGTAGGCCAGTTGTATGTATGTTCTCAGTCTTCACCCTTTGACAAATGTCATAATCTGAAACCTATTTGTAGACATCACTCTTTATATTAGGCCAATAAAAAATCATCCTCATCCTTTTGTAAGTACCCTGCTGACCAGAATGCCCTCCCAAAGGAGATTGGTGCAGTGCTTCAAAAATCTTAGCTCTTAAGTCTGTCCCCTTGCCAATGTAGATCTTCTGATCATACCTCAAAATACCCTGCAATAGAGTGTAAATGGGGCTGCTGTTGGTACTGGTTATCAGCTCAGTTATCAATTTATGAGTTGCAGGGTCATGCTCAAAACTCTGCTCCACCTCACTCATCCAAGTAGGCTTAGTAGAAGATAAGGCAAATAAGGATGAGTCTTTTTCTCCTCTCATGGATAGTACATCAGCCACCCTATTCTCAGCCCCCTTTTTGTACTGGACCTCATAATCAAGTCCAAGTAATTTGGTAAGACCCTTCTGTTGTAGTACAGTGGTAACTCTTTGTTCCAATAGATACTTTAAGCTGTGATGGTCTGTTCTTATTATGAAATGGCCCCCTTGAAGGTAATGTCTCCATTTATCCACAGCTGATAATACAACCATGAATTTTTTTCTCATAGGTAGATAGTCCCAAGTGTCTGGGAGCTAAAGCTTTGCTGAAAAAAGCAATAGGTCTGCCCTCTTGCATAAGCACTGCACCATCCCTTTAGAACAAGCATAAGTCTCTATTATGAAGGTCTTGTTGAAATCTGCTAATGCTAGAACAGGTGCATTGGACATGGCCTGTTTAAGGATCTGAAATGAATGCTCAGCTTCCTCATCCCAGTGAAATCCATTTTTCTTCAACAAGTTGGTTAGGGGCCTGCTTATAACCCCATATGACCTGATGAACCTCCTATAGTAACCTGTCAACCCCAGAAATCCCATAAGGGCCTTGATAATTTTAGGAGTAGGCCAAGAAGCCATAGCTTCAATCTTTGAAGGATCAGTGGCAACTCCTTCTCCTATAATTATGTGCCCCAAGTACTCTACCTTTGTTTGGCCAAAAGAACATTTTGACAGCTTAGCAAATAGTTGTTCTTTCCTCAATATTCCTAGTACATTGTTCCGATGTATAACATGATCCTCCATGGTAGAAATACATATTAAAATATCATCAAAGAACACTAACACAAACCTTCTAAGATAATCCCTAAAGACATGGTTAATTAGTGATTGGAATGTGGCAGGTGCATTAGTCAGTCCAAAAGGCATTACCCTAAATTTATAATGTCCCAAATGTATTCTAAATGCAGTCTTGTAAATGTCTTTTTCTCCCATTCTTATTTGGTGATAACCAGCCCTTAAGTCTATTTTGGAATAAATACATGACCCACATAACTCATCCATTAAATCATCAATTAAGGGAATAGGAAACTTGTCCTTGATGTTCATGTTGTTTAAAGCTCTATAGTCAATACAAAACCTCCAACTTCCATCTTTTTTCTTGACTAATAAAACAGGAGATGAAAATGAGGAATGGCTTGGTTGTATGATGCTATTGTTGAGCATCTCACTCACCTGCTTTTCTATCTCATTTTTTTTTGAAAAAAAACTGTATCTGTAAGGTCTAATACTTATAGGGTTTGTATCTGTTTTTAGGGGAATAAAATGGTCATGGGCCCTTTTTGGAGGCAAGGAGGTTGGTTCGAAGAACACATCTGGATATTGCTTCAGCACCTTGTCAATGGCTGCATGTATTAAACTTAATTCTGCTACTTCTTCTGCTGAAATTGTAAATAGATGAGACCATATGTCTTGTCCCTTCTTAAATAGTTGCTTTACTCCATTTGTTGTTAAACTTTTAAGCTCTGTTTGGTTGTAAATTCTCTCGAGTTCTACCCTTTTCCCCTTGTGAGTCACTTGCACCTTATACTCCAAAAAGTCAAGCAGGACAGTATTATGCCTCTTCATCTAGTCCCCTCCCAGTATCATGTCATTGCCCCCCAACTTAGTGATTCTGACTGCATCTTCAAATTCCACATCTTGTAATTTTCCACTTGAATTTGTGGCAAATGTGCAAACTCATTAGGTAGTTGCCATTTGCTACTGTCACTCTCATAGGTACAACTTCTGAAATAGTGCAACCTGTCTTTCTTGCTACCTCCATATCTAAGAAACTGTGTGTACTTCCTGAATCCAACAAAATAGTTAGGGAATTCTTCTTGGCTTCACCCCTCAGCTTAATGGTGTTGGGTGCTTCAGTTCCAGATAGTGCATTTAAGTTTATTGCCTCATCCACTATCTCTTCTTTTGGTATTACCATTGTTTCTTCTTGCTGTAGGGTCTCCTCTAAGTTCTCCTCTATAGCAGCTGATATTGCATTCATCTGCCTTGATTTATATTGATGCCCAGGGTGGTATTTCTCCACATACTTGTAACACAAACCTTGAGCATTTCTACTCTCAAAAAACCTGTTATTAGCATAGCTAGAACCCCCATTTGAACCCTTGGGAGGCTGGGGATAATAACCTGCAGATATTCCTTTGTTCCACTGTGATTTCCCAAACTTAGTAATAACTTCCAATAGGTTCTCCTTATGCCTAGCCTTCTCTACTACTTTGTTGAATGAATAAGGATCCAATATTTTAACTGTATGTCTAATTTCCTCCTTTAAGCCCTAAATGAAAAATTCAAAGAAGAACTCTTCTGGTATAGTAGGATTTCTGATTAGCACCCAAGCTTTAAGTTACTCAAATTTCTCCAAATATTCATCTAATGTTCCTGTTTGTTCTATTTTTTTTAATTCCCCAATAAGGTTTAATTTGCTATTAGATGCACCATCAAACCTACTACAAATTTCAGTAGTAAAATATGTCCATCTAACTACTCATTTACTTATGTGATAGGAAAAGAACCGGGATTCAGCCTTACCATTGAGGTGAAGGATTTGTTGTGGATCAGTGATAATATTGTGCTGGAAGAATCTTTCACATTTCCTCAATCATGCGTAGGGATCTACTCCATCAAAGTAGGGCATTTCCACTCGAGATTGAGAAGAGTGGCCTTGGTTCCTTCCTCCTAGGTTTTCCCTATTCTCCCCCACCCATGGCCTAGTGATTGGCCCAACATTTGTGAGATTCTCCATTGGTGTGCTACCCAGAAGCCCATCCTGTGAAGGAAGCAGCTTTTCTACTAACAATTCTAATTTCTTCCCCAGATTTTCTAATCTTTCATTATTTGTAACCATGCATGTATTGTTGAAATTGTGTCTCTAACTTCTTCAGAGACTCATCTGTAGCTTTAGATCTCGTTTCTGCTCCTGTCATTTTGGACTGGCCAGGAAGAAGCTCTAATACCAATTGTAATGTACTAAGAAATTGAAAAAGAAATTGGAACTGAAATGAAGATTTTATTGATTAATTCGAAATGTACAATCAAATTCTGGAATCGAAATTATCTAACTAAGAACAAAAGCTTCTAATCTCCATTGAATCCAAGCTTTTACCTGTAGAATTAATGGAAGGAAGTTAGAAGAAGGTTGAAGATAGAGTGAGGATGTTAGAGAGAGAAAGAGAATAGAGAGAGAGAGAGTAACAAATTTTACCAGATTATAAATGCCTAATTGGTTAGGCCCAAATTGGTTATAAGCTGCTTCAGCTGATGGCCCAAAATCATTAGAGCTAAAATCAAATCTAGGCCCTCTATTTCAAGAATACATCTCTGCCGTCCAATTACCCATATGCCACTCACGTGTTGGGTTTTTTATTAACCCTATCTAACTTTCCTAATTCACTTCTTCATTTCCAACCTTAGCCGACATCTAACATCAAGTCCTAAAAAACTACTCCAAAAGTGTTTTTCAGTTTTAGAAAATTGAGAAGATCCCCC